CCATTTCTTTCGCTGTTTTGTTTTCATTTTGTCATCGCAGTTTCTCACGACTCCCCGTATTCAGCTCTGGACCATGTATGTCAGCAAACAGCGTAAAAAAACTCCTTCCGCACCTTCCTCCCACTTTCTACCGCTGCTGATTGCCTGTTTTTCGGCGGCAACTTTTTCGTGTGAGCAATATAAGTGGTTAATACATTATACACTAACCGATTAGGGCGGCATTGCGCTTTATGTGTGATGCCGTGAAGCAGTTCGTCTCTGCTCTCTCCTTTCAGCGTACGGTCGATTTCAATTTACCGCGGGACGTAGTCCAAATTAATTGGTTCTCCGCTGTGGGGCCATTTAACCATCCAAATGATTTCTAAACGGGTTTATTAAGCTGAAAAAGTTGCCAAGTTCCCCTTTAACTCTCACTGTCCTTCCAGTTGGTCAGTCATTACAAACTCATGCTGTGAAGCCAAACACAGTGTAGTCTAGTGTGGATCCCAAAGCTTCAAAAGATGCCAAATGTGTCGAGCTGAATTTTGTGAAAATGTGTATAAAAAGACGCACAAGACAACGAGGATCTTTCTATGTGATGGATGAATGCAGCCATAAAAAACTATCCTGGTTTGGTCTTGGGTTTGAATATGTCACTCAGAGTAATCTATAGCTTTAAAGCTTTAAAGGAGAAATTAAGGAATTATTAAGGAAACTGGATGTTAAAATTTTGTTTATTTTCCTATTCTTAAAGACTTGTATCTACTAAAAATGTAAACAAAAGCTACCAACCCACAAAAACCTAAAGCTAATTTTGAAAATCCTGCTATCCTGCTATGGTTGAAATGATGCCCTTCAATGCAAAGACTAAGCAACAACATAGTCTCAGTGTGAAATGCTTTCTGTTGTAGCTAAAAGTGCATTCATATTAATATTATTCTTTATCTACAACCCAAACTCATCAGTTATAAATCACAAAAACTGAAAAGAAGGAAAGATCTGGGTATTCTAGTGTTTTCAAAAACCCAGCAACAATTTTATCACGGCAAAACACATTAATCCATAGCTTTAATAATACACACACACAATGGCTTAGTGGCCACACACACACCAGTAGTGAGGCCAGCTGTGGCCTTGAGGTATGGCCTCTTGTCACACAGCAACACTTTGACACAACACCATTTATTATGTCCCGCCTCACAGAGTCACCCTCTAAGAAACAGTATAGTATTAGAGCCATTTATAGCCTGTCTGACTGCTCGGTCACACCACAGCGCTACACAAACACACTGTGTTGTTATGTGGATCACTACTTCAACGGCTATGATTGAATGAATGTAGGCCAAGCTTTACTGGTACCTCTGAGTGTCTGCATGTGATGGACTGGTCCATTCAAGTTTACAATGGCATACACTATACAGTAGGCACTTAGCACTTTATTGATTCCACGAGCTCTAGCCGTGATATAGGTCTGACTTTGTTTACAATTAGCTTCAAAGCAAACAATCTAGGTCGGAGTCACACTGTGATTATCCTGTCATATAATCCCATATTATAATCATGTAAATACTCTAATGCTCAAAGGTGTAAAAAGTAATTATATTAGTGTTGGATATAGTGATGAATTATGTGTGTGCATGTGTGTACAGAAATTCTACAGAAGCTGAGACGTGCTTGCAATTAGCCTTTTGTTTCCTTGAGAAAACAGATAAATTAACTTGTGATCTGTTATTATGACTGTCGGGGAGGTTTCATAACTAAACTGAAAAGAGTTGTTAGCAGAATGTACATCTGAGAGTTAATTTCCTGGTAATGTGGGTCAGTACTGACAAAATATATTAGGAGAGGATTGAGATCTACTAAATGAGCTCAAAAAACCATGCAATGTTCAGATTCTTTTCATGAACCTTTTCCTGACTGCTAGCTCATTATGGTCATGTTGAAAATAAATATGAACTGGCATGATGAATATCATTCCTCCTAAACATTATAAGTAATAAGTGGAAACTGCCCTATGTTTTCTTGTGATTAAGGGTTGATTATCTCAAGATAGCAAAGCTTGTTTTCTTGAGGTAATGAAATACTGCTTCAGATGAGCTGACATACTGTAGAGAGCTGATGCTACAAGATGGATGCTCATGGACAACCATGTGATATATTTGTATAAAATAGTTCATCGTCTGCATAAATAGACATTTACCCCTTCTGGTTATTTTTCTTTACCTCTCATAATTATTCCTGTCTTGGCTCAGATTTTATCATTCCAGCCTTGTTTTAATTAATTATCCTTATATGGATGGATGGATGGATGGATGGGTGGATGGACTCACCATGCCCATTCCATACTTCCGCTAGGTGACACTCCCCCTCGCCGGCTTCTTTGCAGTATTCGACCACATCAACCACTCTGGTTGCCGGAGTAACTGGGACCTCAGTTAGCATCTGCTGGGTGTCATTGAGGTAAACCGTCAGGATCACCTGTAACCATAGAAACAAACATGTTATATGTCATAAAATGTCTTAACATTTACCAACTTACCATTCTGGGAATAGATGCTGCAGGGATGATGTATTTTGTGTGCCAACCCACCAGTTAGCATTGCCCCGGTTCCCTCAACATTTTTTTTTGGAATATTGCAGAAAATAAGCTCTGCAAGATCATGTTCACAAATAAACACTACTTTTATGAGTTTTGAAGTCTAAATGTTTTCAGTGAAAAGCTAACGTTAGGCTATAAACAAACTACACCACCAGCACCACACCTTTTTAAAGACTTAAATATTTACGGATATTTTGTAGAACAAACACGTTCAAAAAACCCATTGACTTTGAAATGAGGAAACTGAAGGTGCTAAAATCTGAACTAATTTCCAGGTTTAGGGACTCTCCTGCAGCAACCTATATGGACACCATGGATTTTGGACTGTATTTCTCCCTGATTACTGACTGGGATAACATATGACTAATTCATTAACTTAGCTAACAATTGGTTAACCATCAATCAATCAATGATACAGATCGGCTCAAATAAACTACTTTTGCAGACAGCTGAAGATACACTTCGACACATTAACAGAATGTGAATGCAGAGTGTTTCCGATCCACATAGACCAAGAGAAGCTGCATAAAATCCAATCAGGAACAGCCCATTTAAATGCACCAGGTTTACGGCTTTCTTGGCCTGGATAACAACATAGAAACCTGAGCCGCAGATGTAAATTTAATCTAATTAAATCTTAAAGCTATAATATGTTCATGTCAAGCGATAAGAAGGCTAATGAGATCTCTGGGAAGGGAAAAGAAGCAGTCTTTGTTCAACAGCTAATGAAGACAGCAGTGTGTAACACAATACAGCCATCCATCTGACTAAACAACAAATTGATCACAGCTTTAAATACCTATCCATAACTGCTTGTATACACACAGATACACATACAGTTCCCTCTGGGCTCAGGACAGCGTTTAACCTAGTCTAAAGGTGATAAAAATCTAAATTTAATTTAACCTATTTCTCCATATTTAGTCCAAAAGGTTCCGAAATCAAGTTTATCAAAGTCTTTAGTTAGTTTAGTTTAGACTAATAGAGTAAAATATAGTACAATATTACCGATATTGTAACGATAAAGCTTTTAGTGTGGTTTAACATATCTTAAAAACAAATACATGGCTTCAAAGTATCAGCTGGGCAGTAATGATCCTCTCTGAAATCATTTTGTTATCAAATCCAAATTCTGCAGCCAAAAGATTAAAATAGTAATCGGAAAAGGACATCCTGTGTTATCGCAAGTGATGTCACTGGCAATGTCACTGGTGATGTCATGTCAGATAGTCAGTCGGCAGTTGAAAGATAAATTTAGGGTAATCTGGGATAGGAACACACAGACCAACCGAGGCACACACACAGATACAGATACACTTTTAATCTCAATGTTTCTCCCCCTGTCTCTGTCTCTCTCTCTCTCTCTCTCTCTCTCTCTCTCTCCACACACACACACACACACACTCAAAATATATACAGTACACTGATCCACAGTATTCTATACACCTGTCCCAGATCATGTGAAGTAATCTCTGGCTGCATGCAGACAGACTGAGCAGGGACACATTCCCTAAAGCTTGGATTAGACACACACAAACACGCATGTACAAATACACACACACATGCAAACACAGTAGGGGTTTTACCAGTCTGCAAACCATGTAAAGTACGCTAATCATGGCCTCACGAGGGCTGTAATGTTTTTGTTTCACATGGTAAAACACATCATTTGTCACACTGAAAGACTGCTGGCTGAGATGAAAGTTTGTTTTATGTAATCAAATCATTTGTGTTTTTTCTCATCAACAAAATAGTCATAATTCCCTAATAACACCATCCAAAATATCCCCTATTAATGCAACACACACACACACACACACTCACACTGTCATTTGGCATGGTGCAGTTACGCCACAAATGCTCTTATCTGGCACCGCCATGGGGGTCAACTGCAGTATCAGTTGTTTAATTATAACCAATAGCTGAATTCTAAGCAAATGTGTAACAATTAGAAGAAAGGCTGTTGTTGCATGAGTGCAGGTTCATTCAGCAAAATTAAGAAGTCATTTGTCATTTTCCAAATGCAGGTTACTGTGACACAAGAACCTATTTTTTGCGTCCTCTCATGGGAGAAACCAGCACAAAAGCAACATTCTTCATCCTAACCTCAATAGAGACACGAATTTTAGTGACCAAAGTTAATCTTCTACCCAACAGCTGTGTTGAACATATTGGGTATCACTGACTGAGAGCAAAACAAACACATCTCTGGTAGCATCCTCGACAATCAAGCAAACAAGTACTACCCCTACTGTGGTTTTATTCTCTGTAACACACAAACACAGAAGACTTTCGCATTGGAGAGAAAAGATCAATGTAAGCAGAAAAACTTCATCAACGGCAAAAAGCAAAGAATCAAACCACTGAACTGGGCGAGCAACCTCTGACTTTTTTTTCCATTTCATTGGTAAATGGTAAATGGATTTCATTTCTACGGCCTTTTACCCAAAGCACTTGACATTTTGCCTCTCATTCACGCATGCACACACTCATACACCAATAGCGGCAGAGCTATCATGCAAGGCACTTGCCTAATCACTGGAAGCATTTTGCGGTTCAGTATGTTGTCCAAGGACACTTCAACATGTGGGCAGTTTCCATTGCTGCAGTTTACCTTTTGTACTAAACTGAAATGCTTTGTGCAGGTGTAGATAAAATTCTTTTGTATCTGTCCTGATTTATTACTGTACTGTTTCCAAGTGTTGGCAATCATTAAATGAGTTTAGCACAACTAGACATTTTTCACAGCAGCCATTTGGACAGGAAATAGTAGGGTAAACACAGATGTTATCAGTGGTACTAGCTAAAGTCCCTCACTGGGAACTGAAATGATGGCTTTCCTGTCAAAACATGTTAATTAAACATATATTTATGTATTTTTTCACAGCAGACATTTGTAGCACACTTGTCATACAAGGAAAATTAGTCCACAGTGGCTGTTTACACCTACTGTGTACTTTCTGTATGGACACTCCAGTGCGTCACCTGAAAACCCTCCATAGATAGACCAGGCTACATAGGTCAAAGCAGGTCAGATATACCAAAGTACTGAAGTACCATTACCAGCACATAGGTTTTCCATCATGTCTGTAGAACTAAATATATGTGAAAACCCAAATCAAATGTTGATCATTTTTAAGTTTGAACACGATGAACACACAGTGAAGACAACTTCCTTCTGTCTATGAGTAGGCAGGAATCACACACACACACACACACACACACACACACACAGAAAGGCAGATTGAGCTGTGGTTCCCAAATTGCCTCTGGTGGTGAATGGAGTGACTCTGGCTATTTTAGGCATTAGAGAGGGAGAAAGAGATAGTGAGACTCTATGCAGGCAAGAGTGATAAACTGCCTAGTCTTCTCTGTCAAGTCTGCTGCAAAAACACATCAATACTCACTTTATTAGTTGCTCCAGGGCATTTCAACACAATGTGTTAATTGTAGTAGGGTGGCAGGATAGCACAGCGGTTGGTGTCCCCATCCTGGTTCCCTATGCCTCAGCCTGACACTAAACAACAGCAAACTCGTCCACAATCTGTGGTTTTTTAACATATAGTGCCACTATAACGCCACTGTAGGGCTCATTTGTCCAGTCATCTTGGTAAAAGTATTTCTAAATAAGAAAACAAAACCCACACTAATGCAAATACCAATCTATTAGTGACATATCCGAGTCCAATAAAGTAAAGCACGATGGTCTCTCACTCACCGATGCTTTGGTTTCCCTGGTTTTCAGCTTCTTCTTCTTCTTCTGTTTCCTGCATTTACTCGGTTTGAGGTTCTTAGACAAAAGCACCAGTCGCTCCAACACCAGCCCAAAGAAACGCTTCATTGGAAAACCACTGACCGAAAACACACACACAAGTGTGTGTGTGTGCGTGTGTGTGCATGTGTGTGTTTGATATATAGATAGATAATTAGTGGTGTCAGATGGAGAAAGTGGTGTCTTTGTAGGTGAGCGTGTGTTTCAAATGTCTGAATGTCAGAGTGTGTGTGCGCGTAAGGGTCGGAAATACAAATATAAGAGTGTGTGTCGGTGAGGGGATGAGGGGAGGGAGGGTGTCGGCTTTCAGTAAATACGAGGCGAGGGAGAGAGGGTGAGGAGGAGAGGATGATGGGAGATAAGTAAGAGAATCTGGACACTTTTCATGCCTGTTAGTGGGAGTAGACCATGATATTGAACTGATATTGGGCCAGTGTACAGCTTCCACCTCTAATATGATGGAGGTGCTTCTATTTTTATTGTTAGAATAATTAAGTCAGATGTGTGACCATGAAACATAATTTTGAGTCCAAATTGAGTCCAGTGGGAGGATTTTACCCATCAGCCTCAAGTGTAATTCTTCAAATTGTGATAAAAATGTGAAAACTAATATGAGCAGCTTTAATCCAAATGTCAGTATCAGCAATTAAACGTTTATGAATCAGCCTGTTGCTGTAATAGCTTTTGTCACTGTCTGAAAACTGCAAAAACATAAATATGTTGTACAAATTGTGTTTCTAAAAATACTAAATATTACTATTCTTATAGCTATTTATTCCTGTAGCTAATGTAGCCAGCGTATTTGCAACTACATCTGATCTCATTTGAACTGCTGAAACGATTTAGAAAAATAGAAAGTGTTCCTAGCCTGATACCAAATGTCAACATTAGCCACTTAATGAATAACATCCAATATTTCATGCAATGGGCTACACATCATTAGCATGTCGATTATTACACCACTAACCTCTTGATTAGTTCGAGCATGTGACAACTGAAATGTAAAGTCTTAAAAAGGTCCCAGACGTTCCGATGCCAAAACTTTTTTTTTAGCTACGAGACTAGCAGAGCTGGAGCCGGCCAGGTCGCCCAGGGTCATGACTGACACCTTCACTTACAAAGTCATTAATCGCACAGTACTGACACATGTTAGGTACTTTGTGTAACTGAGTGTACTGTAGGAAACAATAAGCAGAACTTCTAATTATCTTTAACTGCTTTAATTGCATCACTGTACACGAGATAAAAAAGGTTTGAATAAGAAAAAAATAACTACCACTCGACCCCCAGCTACCAGTTTAGACCTGAGGAATGTACCTAAAAATAATCATGAAGACATAACTGCAGTATATACTAAATATCAGCACGAGTATCAGCATTAATATTAGCTAAACATATCTGCATATATTACATGTATCAGTAGTTACAGTGGTGTGGAGTGAAGCTGTCCAGAAGCAGCAGGGGTAATGCTGGAGGGGGAGAGATTACAGAGGCTACACTGATATACTGCAGCATGACTGCACTGTTACACACACTGAAACACACACACAGAAAGGACACAGAAGGTACATTGGCAGAAGAGCTCCCTCGCTCCCTCTATCTCTCTCTCTCTGTAGCACACACTCACGAACACACACACACACACACACACACACAAGGTCACATGTTTGGTGCATGTGCTCAAAACAGTGCATCTATTGGAATTGACAGAAAATCAGTAGACAGTGCAAAGGGAAACCAGATACACAAGAGAGGTGAGCCAGAAGACATGTAACTACTGTTGTTAATGACATTAATATGTGCTGTGCTGGCTAAATAAATTCATCAACACACCAACAATAAGAAGCAATGTCCTAATCTTTTCTTTCTCCCTCCCCTCCTACCTTGTTGCTCCAGCTCACACGCATATGATAATAAATCTCCAGTCACAGATTAGTTGTCGGTGGATCTGGCTGATATTCATGTCCCACAATCCTTTGAAACTGCTATCTGCAGATGCCGTACTGAACTATGACCCTTTACCTGAAGCACATCCCTAATCAGAGCCAGTTGGAAATGGAAGGGTGTGGCAACAATTTTCATTAGATTAATAGAAAAAAGTAGCTCTATAGTGGCTTGTAATATGGGCTTGTAAGAGTGTGAGCGTGTGAGGAATTTTTATAAACAAAATGTTCTTCCAAGTTCTTCAAAAGGGACAACACTGCACTTCCACCCACTACAGACAAAACAACCACATACTGTAACAGAGATAGTCAAGATTCTCACACACACACACACACACACACTCAGACACACTGACTTCCAACAGCGTAGGAATGAGAGAGAAAAAAATATTTCCCAACTGGTTAAAACATAATTTTTGTTTTGTACAAGAAAATAAGGTCAGCTGGCCAGAGAGAATGTGAGTCTCATTAAGGTGTAACAAGAGTGATGAAAAAGTGACACAGGTATGAAACCATGCTCACCAGCTGCCCACTGAAAGGACAAACGTATAAAGAGCCAGGGGCAAACCAAAACTTCCAGGTTCCTGTTTCAGAAGAAAACCTCCTTCAAAAGCCCCATGACATCTGGAACAACAGCAGTAACTAAAAATGCAGCCACAGAGCTGTCCTCTAACATATGTCCAATCTCAAATACCATCTCCCTCAAATCCTCGACCATCACGGGCTAGTCACAACTCGACAAAAGAGGCGAGTCCATGGGCGAATCGAGGGGTTGTGGCTGGTTCTGTCAGTCTGTAATAACAGCAGATCTGTTATTCCGAAAACAAACAGGTATGACCAACTTACTTACGGAACTTAACTGACATAAGTAATGTGATTATTTTAACCCAAACTATGATCTTTTCTTAAACCTAACCAAGTAGTTTTGATGCCTAAACCTAACCAAACTGTGATTGTTTCTCAACGTTAACCATGTATTTATTATTATCATGATGGCATAGGTCAACTGACTTCGTCCATTCGTACACATACAAACAAACTATAGATATTAAGGCCACAAAACTCCAGGGAGAGTGTATATCTTCGGGAAAACAGGCCTTTGGAGCAGTGGGCTTTTGTTTTCGGGATAACGGGTTGTCGGACAAATGGGCTTTGGGTCCAGTGGGACATTTTTCAGACTATTGGGCTTTCGGAAAACAATGGCCCATCAGAACAATGGGCAGTCCCCAGACTTTCATGGAACTTTCATGTAAATTCTAACACAGTAATCATTGTTTGACACGTACGTTAAAATGTTTTTGCATTTTTGGGTCGTACTTACAGTATCTGACTTTACTACGACAGATCTGGTCAAACATCATATAAGTGGCTGTGTCATTTTTGTGAATGTGAATGATGTGATAGATCTGCTTGGATACTGTTCAGGCTGCTGTAGCTTTTTGTATGTGCTAGTAAATCATTTTAAATGATGATGGGCTCTGCAGGGATCTGAGGGTGTAGTGTGCTTATACCTGCTGTGCTAACCATTCAAGGAGCGCTGTCCACCTGGGAGTGAAATGGTTTTCGGTCCGTCTGTCCATCTGTCACGCTGTTGTTACGTCTGCCCAGCGGCTCTTTTTTTCCCCCAAAATCCAACCCATTGTCCCGACTCTTCCCGTGTGTTTAGTTGTCGTTCCCGAAACAAATCCCCCTTCTTACAATATCTTGAGCTACACTACACTACACTATACTACACTACACTTGAGCTATTTGGGAGATTATTTAAGAGCAGCTGGTGGAAGCCCACATAATTTGAATGTTATTTCTGTGACATTTCACTAGTGTGCTCACTAGTTGATGATGAATCATGGGAGGGTAGAGCAACACATGTGGGAGTGGAGGAAAGCGCTGCCATTTAAATACCACACAGGAAGACATCCTTTTTTAGTCAGTACAGGAAAACAAATTTAGGAAAGTATTACATGCTGAGGAGAAAATAGCTCTGCCATACTGTCCTTCCAGTGAGGCAGCTTCAAGTAACACCTGCTAATAAACTGGAGGGATTTACAGGCTTAAATATAAAGTAACACCTATTGAAAACAAGACTGGTGATATGTATGAGTCTGTATTACATTACACTTACACTTTAGGAACTGGGCTGTCACGTTTATCAAGAGCAAAATACAATGAATGAGCTTTAATTATGTTCTAAAGTCAATGTGATTCTTAAATCACTATAATTAAAATGATACTCCAGTGGTATGAATCTCTAAAGGCAGAAAGATAATGTCAGAGTAAAGTCCTGACAACACAAATAAATTAGTTTGAAGCTCATAAATAAAACTTATGAATGGAAACAAGAAAGAGTGGAAAGAAAAAACCCAACTTCCCTGTTGGCAGCTCTTGTGCTGCCTCTGTGTGTTTATGTGTGTGTGTGTGTTTGTGCGTGTGTGGCAGAGCACAGTGGAACACAGTGACAGCTGAAAGTGATTTGCGTTTCAGACACCCCAGCTCTGCCCACACCCAAACACACACTCACACATCAGTCAGTACGGTCTCTATAGGAACTGCATGTGACCGGTGAAACACGAGCTTCCAGCTCATTGAGAAAGAAACAATCCGTACACTCCTGAAGCAGCATACAGTGTCTCCTACTGCGTATGTCTCTATATTACTTTTTTAAACAGTTTTCTTTCTTTCTTTTTCAAACTAAGTCTCCAGAACAACCTCCCAGAAATCCCACAGCAATCTCAAACTGCAAATCAATTACTGAAACCATTATAGGATCTGTTCAGGATAAATGTATTCAAAGCTTGCAAGAAAACTCCATTGATTTTTAACTTTAATAATAATAATTTTAAAAAGATTTCCTACAGATGTGATCCTTTAAAATGACTGTGGCAGATGGTTGGTTACACCGAACTATCTGCAAAGTCAACACTGGAAACAGTTTGGAAAAGGGTTGGCGCTTTCAAAAAATACTGGTCAGGTAACCATCTGTGTGTCACCGTCTATTACAGGCCAACTTCAACCATTCCTCCATCAAGAAGAGCTTTCAGTTCCTTCTTTCAATGAAGAAACTCTCTCCAGTTCTGATATAGTAGTACTGATGCTAGCAGAATCTATGCTAACTCCATTAGCAACCGCCATTGTTGTTCTCGAGCAAACAGTCACTTCTCGCACACGTCGTCACACACACCTAGCATTAAACCATGCCCATAGTTCATGCCATAGCCGGCAGGAGTTCCTCACAGGACGCTGGTTGGGCTGGTACCGCTGTGGTTGGACACAAGCGCATAGCTT